CTATGCATAAGAATGAATGGGCAAAGAGAGATAACTGCTGAGAATGTTACCATTGTAAACTGGGAAGGCTGTGCAATATTTGTCCTTTAATTAACTTTCCACATGAAGAAAATCCCAAGCATTATCTTTATCTGTCACATTGAGATTAATAACTGTACCGCCCCTGTCTGCAAATGAACTTTGTTTTGAAGTTAAGGGCAATTTTGAATGAAGTGTACATTCTCTGAATTATGGATTTGAAATAATGCTCATACTTTATTTTGGTTAAAATACTGGACACAAAAATTTATGATAATTTTATTGAATTCTAAAATCAAGATATATATTAAGATATCATTTATTATTATTACTATTTTATTTCTTTAATTATTTATTTATTTTATTTTTTTGCTGCCTTAATGTTGTTAATTTTAACAGGTAATCAGATAATAACTCCATTCTGTCAGAGTTTAAAAAAGTTCTTATGGTAAATTTAGAAGAAAAGGATAAGAGAGCAGTACAATTAATCCCTTGGGATTAATTATCTAGCCTGCTGCAGAAAATTTAGAGGCTTATCTTTATTTGCTCAGGAAGATTAAGGAACACCTTTGTCTGCAACTGATGTTTGTTTTGAAGTTGAGGTCAACTTTGGGTGATATTTGCATTCACTGAAGGCTTGCATTTTTTAAAACACCTGCTTAAATCTTTTTTAAATACACATTTAATTTAGTTTTTTTTAATAAGACATGAGGTTTTCCCTGTTTTATGTAAATACAAGGTTACTATTTACAGGTTTTTCGGACATTCAGGAATTATCTTGAAAATTTAAAAATACAGTTTTTACTTATAATCTTCATATATTTTTTAAAATAAAGTATAATCAACTAAAACTCTCATTCAATGAGCTGCATCTTTATATTTCTACCCCTCAGCGGGGCCCTTGCTGACTGGTCATTTTTCTAGTTGTTCTGACTTTTAACATAATAAAAAAAAAAAATTAAATCTTACAGAACAACATTCCTTTTAATTATTGTCAACAAAATATATCCCATGATTTATCCCCCCCCCCCCCCCCCCCCCCCCCCCCCCGCTTTAAAAAAAATTGTTTTATGAAAATCCATACAAATATCTATAAAAGTACTAAAACTCATTGTAAAATGTTCACTTTTAAAAATGGAGGTAGGTGGGAGAATAATACTGTCATTCGCAGTTCTTAGTTAAATGATGGCAACGTTGTTAACACTGAAAACATGAAGGGAAGCAGAGTTACTGAGCCTGTAATTTGACTTTCAGGTGTGATTGTGGGCCATTACCTACAGAGAGTGACCCCCAGCGTAGCTCTAGGAGCAGAATTAGTGTATCAGAGGGGACCCCGGGTTCCCGGAGGAGAAATCACCGTCATCTCATTAGCTTCCAAAATTACAGGTCAGAAATACTTGCAGAGTACTTAGGAGAAAGCTTTGTTCAATAAGGTTTATGTGTTCAATGAATGAAATATTATAGAATATGGTGAGTTTTACTCTGAACAGAATTTAAAAATACATGTCATTTAAAATTGTGCAGTCAATAGGGCTGTCACGGGTACCCGAAATGACCCGGAACCGCGGAACAATTCATTCGGTTCCGGTACGGTTCTGTTTTTCCGGAATTCGGTTCGGTTCCGATTTGTATAGTAGTGTAGGTTTTACTATAAAAATGGCATCAAAAACGAGACATTTCTTAATACATTGCAATTATAAGGTGATTTTAATAATATGGTACAATTGTTGTTTAGTCAGGAAGCTACTTTAAACTAGTTAAAATGTTGCTATTTCGAAGATTAAATGAAAATATTCTTTTTGTTGCTGAAAATAATACAAATCATTAGCTTTTATTCCATTAATTACCCGAACCGAAATACCCGAAACCGAACCTAAAAAAATCAGAACCGACCCGACCCGAAAAATTTTGGAACCGTGACAGCCCTAGCAGTCAATGTTTAATTCTTTCTTTGATTATTTTATACTTGCATATCACAGAGATTGCAAACAGCTTTACATACTGTGTATACTATAGAAGTTATAAACAGCTTTACATACTGTGTATACTACAGAAGTTATAAAAGTGCATGTTTATACTTTGTTTCAGGGGAAAATTGGCAATTCACAGCCAATGTGTGCCCATCAGCAGTAGCAGCACATTGTTGCTACTATCATAAAGTAAATGAACAATTGTCAATCGGAGCAGAGGTAGAGACAAGTCTCATGACGCGAGAAAGTGTAGGTAAAGGTTGTTACCAGCTAGAAATACCTAGTGGGAACGCTATGTTTAAAGGTGAGTCAAAAAGTTTCATTATCATAATTGATTTTGTATAAGAGTGCCACTTTGATATTTTCAATCTTTTTATCACCCCATTGGTGGCTAGGTCAGTTACAATACAAATACTTTAAATAAATTGTATTTGGTTTTATATTCCAGGTTCTTTTGATTCAAACTGGGTAGCAGAAGCTGTGTTAGAAAAGAAACTGATGCCCTTACCTTTTACCTTACAGCTTAGTGCTATGGCTAACTTTGCCAATGTTCAGAAGAGTTCATATAGGTTTGGAATAGGTTTAGTTCTTGGCTGAGAGTTTTAACAAAAGACATTGACTGTGATCTTTAGTTATGTTCACCTCATCATTTAAGGGAAGGTGAGCCTCTGCATTTACTGACTTGTGCCTGGAGGGAAAGACAAAGCATTTCTTCGGTGTTTTGAACACTTCTTCTTGACCTTTAGATAAGGGACATTACTCCGGGCAATCTGATTATTTTTACCTGTACAATAATTAATGATTAAAAGTGAGTGTCACTTATAAGCTGGCATTATGCTGTACTTAGAATGTGTGATAATATTAAACAGGTAGCTGTGTGTGGCATTTGTATCAAGCATATGACGTGTAGTAATATATGCAATGTAAAGCATTATGATAAAAAATATTTAATTTTCTTTCAAAATCATATTATTAAAGGGTATTTTGAACTACAGCCATGAATGTTTAGTAAGGCAATAAATCTTGTCCTTTGATTATTTCAAAGTTTAAAATTTTTATGTTCAATTTCAGGCATTTACCGATAATGACATGGCATGATTTAATAATTATCATTATTTAATAGAGGCATTGCTTTGATTACTTTATGCAGAATGAATGCATGGATTTAATTATTTGATAATACAACATGTTCATCATGATAATCAGTATTTTATTCTACTGATTACACTTTTAGCTGGAAAACAACGTGTTCAGAATGTTATTGGCATTGTTTAGTTTTATCAACACTGCCATCTGACTTTCATCACCATCTACATATTTGCTGATTATTCACTGTGTCATTAAAGAAATTTTAAACAAGCAATATGTTTTTGCTTGTTTGTGCACCATAGCGTTTAAAGTCATCTTTACAACCTTTATTTAAAGAAGATGAAAAACAAGATATGATTGTGAAACATTGTTGCCATTATTGAGCTCAAAAAAAGGATAAATTTTCTCATTCCAAAGTCAAATTTCAAAGTCATGGTCAAGAGATAAGAAATATGTATGATTGTATGTCAAAACATTTACCTTTAATTTGACTCTTTGACCTTAAGATTGGGGTTTGACCCACATTGGAAAAAAAATTATCCTTGACCATACCTTTTGAATGGTTTGTGCTTGGGCATTCATATTTCACTGGTATACTATTTCACTGGTATACTATAGTACCTCGGTACTCAATGAAAGAAGTATTTTCTCTGGTTGACAGCATTTTTGATCTCTTGACCTTGACATTGAAGTTTGGTTTGCAGTTGAAAAAAAGTGTTCTTTGCCAAAAGCTGCCATATGGGGGACAAGGTGGCATCTGTGTTTAGCAAACATGTTTTAATGCCCCCGTAATTAAAGATTCTGGGGTATATAGTTTGTACCCGGTCAGTCTGTCTCTTTATCTGTTTGTCCGTATTGGTCTAAAATTTTGACCTCATCTCAAATTTTAATGTTGGCTGTAACTTTCGCTCTAGAAAAAGGATTTCATATTTATGATATTTGACCTTATGAATACATGTATACTCGGTATCTTGAAGAGGTGCAATATTGACTGTTAACTTTTATTTATCTTTTCTTGAAAGAAGGACAGAGAAGACAATACAGACAACAAGACAGTGCATTAAGACAAGACAAGTATAATATGATAAAGCCGAAAATATAGGTTTTTCTTCTCATTTACTAAGACACAGAGTGCAGGTTCCATGAATACATATACAGTATATCATTAGTTGCATAAAGCAAAACTTAATATAATGGGATCACAGGCCTTTAAATCGCTTACAAAAAATTGAAGTGTTATTAAAAACACATCTTTTATACACCATTTTTAAAAGTAGGATTTAAGCGATCCAAAGGCCTGTACATTGGACCACACTTTAATCACATCTTTACTAGCACAATTATCGGCTAATTCTTTGATATGTTGTAAATTAAATTATAATTCTCATATTGTCATTCATTCATTTATTCTCTCAAAAAACCATATACATGATACAAGAGGTACATATATACATATTTACAATAATTATGGACGAGCAGAAATTACAGGAGGATAGACAGTGTCAATTTTTTTAAAAAATAAATATACACAATTTTCGTAAAAATGCTGGATCTGTACAGAATTTTATTATATTTGAATGTACATAGTATTTCTGCAACAAAAAATCTTTTCGGATACTATATAATACATTACATTCCAGTAAATAATGGAATTCGTCTCCTATCTGATTATTATTACATAAATTGCACACTCTTTCATTTAAAACTTATTCATATCATTTGACTACTAGTAAGTAATTAAGAAAAACCATAAGGTTAGTAAAATGGTATGCACATTTATAAAAGTTAACAAGTTTATGTGATTTTAATTTTCCTATTAGCAGACCTTGGACGAATATTATTATGATGCTTGGAATTTTCATTCTGTTTGTTATTAGTGTTATTCATGACAAGCTTTAGCTTAAGGACGTTCGATCCTGAGATTTTGAGCGTAATTTGGTCAGGTCCTTTATTTATAAAATTCTGCATCATTTTTAAGTTCTAACATTAAATCTGAATTCTACAGTGCATATTTAACTGTATACAATGAAAAAACGGCGATCAAATTCCATTCAAGTAGAATTAGGATAGGGACTATATTTTGTGGCGGAAGATTTTTTTTTTTTTTTTTTTTTTTTTTTTTTTTTTTTTTTAAGACTTTTCCATTTTGAACTTGGATTCCTATTTTTCCATCCTGATTGCACAAAAAGCTGTTTTTTTGCAATTAAATGTGTTATGCTGGTTCTGAAATATCTATTACATTATTTTTTCTGAAGTCTTACAACGAAGTGTGACAAATATAGAAAATATATTCTGAAAATCCGGGAAAAAATAAGCTAATTCTAACGTAAAATTGACACATTTTTTGTCATATCTTAAAATTTACATCATATACCCCGACTTTTGATGTTTTTTCTAAATATTCAAGATAAATTTGGCCTTTTTGCTTAAAATCAGAAAAAGTTAAAGACTTTAAAATAACTTTCTTGCTTTTTAAATTTTCAATGCCAGAAAAATCACTTTTTATTAGTGCAGAAAGGTCAAATAATTGATTATGTGAAGCAATTTTAAACTTTTTCTTAGTCACAATTTTTAAGTGTCTTTTTTAAACAAACTTAGAGTTCTTTTTGTTTCATGCTTTAATTGGATAAAAATATCGAAGGGAAAACGTCAAAAATATAATTTTTAAGACACAAATTTCAGTGCAAAAAGGTCATATTAAATGTACTGTAGCGCCAAAAGAAGCGTATTGACCCCCATTTTTTGATTTGAATCTTAATAAAGCTATGTATGTAGAAACTAAAAATATGCTTGGCAAAAAAAGTTTAAGACTTTAAATATTAGGATCGAACATCGTTAAATGAAACACTCTCAAACGCCGTGCCACTTTAGTACAGAGTATCATTACCCAGTAGTCCTCATACTCTCCTCTTCCATATCCTATCCTTCTCTCTAGTCCATCTTCAGTGTATCTATCCTGCCTGGGGTATGACTTTGTGTGAAACTGCTGCATCCTGTATGGACCTCCTCTACTGTATCCTGACAGATCCTCACTGTATCTACTTCCTGGGTATCTCTGATGGTACATCACATTCCTTGGATCTGTGTAGGGAAGGTAATATGCACTATTTTGATTTCTATAATGGTGCTGATTTGTAGGAAAGTAGTGCTCTCGGTGATTGATCTGGGATCTTGGAGATTTAACTCCAGTGGGCATCCTACCCCCATACAAAATATCATACTGTGGATGGTTTTGATACGAGTCAGTACCTCCTTGTATTTTCCTTCCAGAATTTTCATGACGTCTCATTTTTTGTAACTGTTCATAGTTTGAATTCAGATCTTTATTTTTCTCATTTTTAATACGTAACTTGCGAGTCCCATTTTTTGGTTCATCTCCCTTTGATGTCCCAGTCCTTTGCCGGCAGAAAAACACAACAATCACAATAATCACCATCAGCAAAGTACCCCCAACAGCAGACACAGTACTGATAATGATGATCATTTCCTCAGACAATCCTGAAGGTGAAGTAGTTACTGGGGCTTCTGAGGTTTCTAACTGTGTCATTGTACCAGCTGAATTTGTACTTATAGAGGGAGAGCTATCTTCTAGCGTATCAGATAAAGGAACTTGAGTTTGTGCAGTTGATAATGGTTGGAACATTTTAGTTGGAGTTTCTGAAATGACTTTTGTGCCACTCGTTGATACTACTGATCCAGTTGTTGTAGAACCTATATGAAGTAATGATAGATAAAGAAGAATATACTTTGATCAAAGAATTTCTTCTAAGTTTATTGCATTCAATAAAATCGTCGAGGGGGACCTTAAACAAAAACAATACAAACAATCAGAAATATTATTCTTTACTTTATTTAATTACCATGCTTTTGTTTTAATTAAAAAACGGATATTGAAATTTTTTAAAATCTCTGACAAATATCCAATAGTTTACTATAAAATCCCTTTCTTATTACACATTTTTTAAAACAAAAATCTTCATAAATTCGTCACGTGTAGTTCAACATTTAAATTCACTTTATTTGCGGGACATTGCATTAACCAACTTGAAAGTAAGACGATGTTTTATTAAAATAAGACAAAGTAAATTTATCTTTTACTCTCAATACGGAAAGATGATTATAAATGTAATTGTGAAATCATATGACAGCTCATGGCGAAGGTTTTAGTTTTTAAAGTCAATTGCATGTCAGAGGTCAAAATCATAAATCATAAATGTTGATACCTAAAGACAGGTCTTTGAAACATGAAAGCCTTAGAAAAAAAATCATTTAAAATATTATTGCCAAGGTTAAATTTTTTCAAAAGTAAGTCAAACTCCAAGCTCAGGGACAAAGGGTAAAAGTTATTGGTACCCATGGGACGGTCTTGTTGCCCCAACACCAACTGTTCAACGATTATGGCCAAGATTTAAGTTTTTAAGAAGCAGGTCAAACTCCAAGATCAAGGTCAAAGAGCAAACTTGTTGGTACTCAAGGCAAGATTTTGTCACTTGGAATACACGATTGATTTTTTTTGGGTGAATATGTACTATGAAAGTTTGAACTTCAACCGTTTAAAAATTATGCCAAAGATCAATGTGTTTTTTAAACCCCAAAATTCAAAGGTTCAAACGTTTGTACAAATGGTAAAGTCTTATGACGAAAAATACACATGCGAAGGATGAAAATCCTAGCAGCAACCGTTCAAAAGTTATGGCCAAGGTTAAAGTTTTTGTAAAAATTTGCAAAAGTTAATCAAGGTTAAGAGAACAAATACGTTGGAAGTACAACAAAGGTCCTGTCACAAGGAAAACAAAATTGAAATATGAAAGCCATAGCACTGCTTAAGTTTTTGCTGACAAACAGACAAAAGAACTGACAAAAAAAAGTTAAGGGCTACTTGATATCGCGATTACGAAACTTAGCAGAACTCTTTTGCGAAGGAGGTAGGAATCGTCTATTGGGTGGGGGCATGTGCTATTCAATACAATGCAAGATCGATCATTGTAGCATTTATAAGGACAGATAAGTAAAAAATCCTGGTGGAATACCTCGCTAAACAATCGCTGAACCAGCCTAATATATTTTTGAGAGGAGCCAATCCTAAATTGTCACATTTTTAACGATATTTTTAATTAAGCGGACTCTTCTCGTTAAATTTTCATTGAAAATCGTCACATTTTTAAGCAAATAAAATATTCTAATCTTTCCTTATTTGACAATCTACTATTTGGAGTTCAATATCTGGCAAAACATCGTGATTTTGGCATTAAATTGTTCGAATCATTCGATTGTCACTACTGTAAACAATGTCATTTGCCCCCAGAAATTTAGACTTTTCTCGACCCCCCCGCAAAAGAGCGGTAGTAAGTTAGATAACTGCGAGGTACTCATTGGTAGTCGCGATATAACGTATTAACTTGCTATATATAGGTTTTCTTGCATTCACTGTAAAAACTGTATATTTATTCCGCACAAAAAAGTGCGCTGTTTCTCGATTTATTTCTTCAATTTGTTAAACTGTCATCTCAAAATATTACTAACCGTGTGTTCCTAACATATTCTTTCACTGTTTCCACAACAATTCGTTCCTTTTAATTGTTGTTTATAGCCCTCCTAGCCCTGAAATTAAGATAATCGAAAAATCGCATATTTATACTGCCAATTTGGTTTACAAGATAATTCGGTCCAATGCACTTCGTGCAAATGTCAACTGCGAGAGTACCTCATAAAGGTTTAGGATTTTTTTTTAAATCGACCTTTTTTTCGAGATTGGGGTAAGAATTTGGAAGAATTCATCCAGAAGTAAGCCCAACTTTTTGTGCGCAATAAATATACAGTTTTTACAATAGGTGGCACTGTAGCTCTCCAGTCTATCAAAATATTTTTTTTCGGAGAGCTACAGATCTGCAGCTATCTGTCAGTATGTCCGTCCGTCACAAAAACTTTAACCTTGCCCATAACTTTTGATTTAGTGTACCTATGACTTTCATATTTCACATGTGTATTCCTTGTGACAAGACCTTTCTTTGGGTACCACCAAACTTGACCTGTTGATCTTGATCATGGAGTTTGACCAACTTTTACACAAAAATTCGAAACTTTTACGTTGGCCATATCTTTTGAATGGTAGAAACTAAAACTTTCATATTTCACAAATTTATTTTTTGTAGCAAGGCCTTTCGTTGAATATCTTTTGACGTTGAAGATTTCGAACTTATAAAAAACTTTAACCTTGGCCATAACTTTTGAATGGTAAGGGCTAGGACTTTTATACTTCACATGTGTAATCCTTGTGAGAGGACCTTTTATTGGATACCAACAACTTTGACCTTTTGACCTTGGAGATTTCCGTACTTATGAAAAACTTTAACCTTGACCATAACTTTTGAATGGTAAGGGCTACGGCTTATACTTCAAATATGTCATCCTTTTGAAAAGACCTTTCGTTGGATACCAAGAACTTTGACCTTGACCTTGAAGTTTGACTTACCTTTCAAAAAATTATCCTTGACCATAACTTTTGAACAGATGGTGCTAGGGATTTTATATTTCATAATCGTATTTCTTGTGAGAAAACCCTGCTTTGGGTAATAAAATATTTCATTTGCATTTCGGAAAAGTCGAATCTTCGTTATGTTGCCATACGGGGTCATCAAAGTTTCACAAACATATCTTGTTCCTTATATTGAGAAGAGATAGGGATTTCATATTTAACATGTGCAATACCTGTGACAAGATATTTCCGAGCATTTTATGATTTCTTACCCCTTGACCGTGACCTTCACGATTGACCTTATTTTAAAAAAAATCAACTTCAGTGATCATTTCTTAATAAATGACATATGATAGGGTGTTCATATTAGACACAATACGTCATAAAAATAACATCTCACCCACAAAGACACCGAAAGCGGGGGACCACAATTCTTTGAATTTGCTTGTTAGTCCTATATTTTATTTTGATGCAATCAGTGTTAGATAACACAGAAAAAAGTTTAATTTTTAACCGATCGAAATCCTTCACGTGGCCATTTGTCCCTTTCCTAATCCACAAATTTTCCTATCAATTTTTTTTTATAGTTTATTCTTAAGATACCTGAAATGCAAACCAGAAATAGATCTAAATAAAAACACATTATTCAATTTCAGCGCGATAGACTGTCGAATTAGAAAATATTGTTAAACCAGCTTACCGTATACCAAAAACAATATGACAAAGTAGTAAAATGAAGCTGGAAAATAGCGCAAAGGCATTGTGCTCTCTCTCTCTTGTAGGAGGACAATATACTAAGTTAAAAATCAATTCGTTATCTCTGTTACCTCATGAAAAATACCTGATAGGTATTATGTAAAAGAGACCTCTCAACGAAGATAAGTATGCACATATTTTCAAAATTTAAATATCTTCATTGCACCTGTATATTTATCCCTCTATTAAGTCTCAAGACCACAATATGATTTAATAGTATCTTGCGATTTGTACACGCAACAGTTTTTTTATACCCCCCGCTTGAAAAGTGGGAGGGTATATAGTAATCGGGATTTCCGTCCGTCTGTACGTCCGTCCGTTACGCTTTATCTCTTATCCGCAACCCCTCTTATACTACTGAGTGAAATTTAATGAAACTTTCACAGAATCTCTATTTAACATATTGCCATTGTGCACCCCCTATTTTACTTTTTTATTCGACACGTATTTTAAGGTTTCCCATAGCAAAACATGGACATTGCCATTATATGTTTACCTATGACGTCACATATAGAAGCTTCTGGATAACATTTGATAGGACGAGTTATTCTTCTTTACATTACCGTAAAACAATATATAGCAACACATGGACATTATGGGAGGCGAGGGGTATCATTTAGTGAGCTCATTGCTCACAGTACCTCTAGTTTATCTATTTGAATTAAGTAAAAACTAGAGGTACTGTGAGCGATGAGCTCACTAAATGATACCCCCCGCCTCCCACATGGTTATAACTGGTGAAAAAGTCCATGTTTTCCTGTGGCAGGGAAACCCAAAATATGTGTCGGATCAAAAAGTAAAATAAGAGGTGCACAATGGCAATATGTAATAAAGATTCTGTGAAAGTTTCATCAAATTTCATTCAGCGGTATGAGAGGAGTTGCGGATAAGAGATGGGTACCCCAAAGCGTAACAGACGGACGGACAGACAGACGGACGTACAGACGGACGGACGGACGGACGGACGGACGGAATTAACGATTACTATATACCCTCCCGCTTTTCAAGCGGGGGTATAACAAGATGTGTTTGTGAAACACTGATGCCCCCGTATACCAACATAGAGAAGATTAAACTTTTCTTAAATGCAAATAAAATATACCAGTACCCAAAGTAGGGTATTCCCACAAGAAATACGATTGTGAAATATGAAAGCCTTAGCACTACCTGTTGAAAAGTTATGGCCATGGATAAGTTTTTGAAAGGTAGGTCAAACTCCAGAGTCAAGGTCAAAGGGTCACAGTTGTTGGTTTCTTAAGAAAGGACTTGTCACAAGAATTACATATGTGAAGTATTTCAAAGCCCTAGCCCTATCCATTCAAAAGTATTAACCAAGCTAGGTTAAAGTTTTTAAAAAGTAGGTCAAACGCCAAGGCTAGGTCAAAGGGTCAAAGTTCTTGATATCCAATGAAAGGTCTTGTCATAAGGATTAAATATGTGAAGTATGAAAGCCTTAGCCCAAGCCTTTAAAAGTTATAGTCAAGGTTTGTTTCTTAGAAGTAGGTCCAACTCCAATGGTCAAAACTATTGGTATACAGTGAAAGGTTTTCTCACAAGGATTACATAATTATGTGAAGTATGAAAACCCTAGCCCTTTCCGTTCAAGGGTTATGGCCAAGGTTAAAGTTTTTTCATACTTACGGAAATCTCAAAGGTCAAGGCCAAAATGTCAAAGTTTTTGGTATCCAGTGAAAGGTCTTGTCACAAAAATGCATATGTGAAATATGAAAGTCCTAGTATCTATCGTTAAAAAGTTATGGCCAAAGTAAAAGTTTGGAATTTTGTGGAAAAGTGAGTCCAACTCCAAGGTCAAATTTGGTAGTACCCAAAGAAAGGTCTTGTCACAAGGAATACACATGTGAAATATGAAAATCATAGCTCCACTAAATCGAAAGTTATGGGCAAGGTTCAAGTTTTTGCGGACAAACAGACGGACAGACAGAGAGACAGACAGACGGACTTCTACGTTATCACAGTGAGGCAAGAATAACCGCGCCTACAAAACTCGAATTAAAAATGTAATCGAACTGTTTATCAGATATGTATCCCTTGTAATTTGCAAGCTGAGAGAGATGTAAATACTGAATGGACATTTAGTTTTATATAATTTCTTAAACCTTGTTTAAAATTTTCAATAATAAATAATATCAATAAAGAAAAACAGGACCGCACAATTAATGAATAAAGTCACAATTTTAAGTGACTATAGATATGTCATTTTCAACCTCCTTCCGTAATATATAGATAAGTTCGTACAAATATCTTCATTAGCAGTAGTTTTGATAATCCTAATTCTTACTTGTTCCAACCCGCATGCTTGTGTTTAAGGTAAAACCTGCACCATACGTATTATTTACTACAGGATGATCGTAATAAAAGTCAAAATAATAACAACAGATAAAATTCATTTGCAAAGTTTATTCTACATGATACATTCTAGGCTTACACACAGCAAATTTCTACATCAATTAACATTTAGATAATTTTTATGGACGGTATATCGATAATAATATGAAAAAATTAATCATTTGCGTTAGATGTAATTTAGACAACATAACTTGTTGAATATTAGGTTCTTAAACATAAAATCGGGTGTTATATCGAGAGAACTCGCCATTTGGTGCAAAGGCCAGAATGTTGACAAAGATCTGATGTTGGGAGGCATCTGGTGTCCATTCAAAATGTACTTCTTCTGCCAGAGTGGATATGGGTGATTGAAGATCGGAACTTCCAGCGCTGGAACCCACCGAAACTTGGTAGACCGTGGCACCATATTGAGAGGGTACGAAAACCTTGTTCCATTGTATTGAAACATTCCCACCAGATGAAGTAAAAGATGCTGACTCACCTATGGAAAACAAACTTGGGTAAATACCGGTATACACAAAAGAAACTCATCAAAATGATTAAAGATTACATGTATATAAATTACCCTGTAAGCCTGGTGGTCTGTTGTCCAGAATGATAGAAGAATTCAATATTTGACTTCGGTATCCACCGCCATTTGCTGCGCGAACGTCTACATTAATGATGTCTCCGGCTTTTGAATTCTGTATTACGCGTGTTGCACAATTCCTTAGACCAACCGAATTCCATGGCGCAATGACTTTTCCATTCTTTCGTACCCGAGTTTCATAGGTGGATATTCCACCTTCATCTTGAAATCCATTCCAGAAAAAGTCGATACTTGTCAAGTTTTCTTGCAAAGGGATTGTCGACTCCTTCCTCAAAAATGTATTACGGTTACTTGAATAAAATGAAAGGGAGGCACTTTCGATCTGTGGTGATTTATGGTAAATTTTGAAAGGTCCTGCTGTCTCTTCGGCTTTAAGCTGGACGTTATTTATGCATTGAACGGTAACATATATTGTTGTTCCATGGGGGAATGACAGGTTTGACAATTTACATTCTCTGTTATCAGGACTAGTTTGCCAACGTCCCGATAATGCAGAAGCTTGGGAATGACCTGAAACAGAATAAAACTTGCATTTGATAGTACAACTACTTTGAATCATCAGCTCATTTACTAAGTATATTATAGATATTTATACATACCAACAGAACAATAACAAGATAGAAGATAAGATTCCTCCTCTGTAACATTCCATGTCACTGTAACTTCAGTGTGGTTTCTGATCGTCCGAGTCGACTCTGCATGTATGGTGGTTGTATCATTTTCTGCAACACCTTGATCAGTGTTGTTAAGAAATTCCAAATCCTGTCCTATTGCAAAGTTTCGAACATCGACATTCAAAATTTTCAAAATAGGGGCACTGTGATCTAAAGTTATTTCATGTTGAAACATTGACGATAAACCAGCATAGTTTCTTGCGATAGCTGTTAGATGGATTCGACTGCCATGTGGAGCATCCGTATGTATTAAACCGTGATTGGATTTCGAGAAAGGAGACAATAATCTCACTTGATATCCTCCTCTGGTTGTTCCAGCTCCAACTAAAACGTTTTCAACACCACTTTCCGGATCGAAGATGAAACTGCAGACGGACACTGTTCCAGGGTTTATTTGACGAACAATTAATGGATTTGTACTGACTTCTGACAAATTACAATGTTGAAGACGTACTGAAATACTTTCATTGGGTATATCCTTTCGACTTACCACACTAAATCTTAAGTTGACTGGGCCATCATTGCTGGACAAAAACTCGTGTTCTGCAGAAGTACTCGAATCAGCAGTTTGTGACATGTACAGTAGCATTGTTCTATTTCCAATATGCAACTTGAGGGTACTAAGTTGTAACCTACCAGGTAACTTGATTATAATTTTGTAAATATCATCCTTTGTAGCAGTAAAAACACCATTCACCACCTTTTTCTTCATGTTATAAATGTCTGTATGACTCGTAATTGAGGACACTTGAAATTCAATTTTTTCAAACGATTTGCACTTTATTCCGACAGGTGGAGTGTTATCTATTTTTATTGGGTTTGAATGTACATATTGAGAAGGATGATCCATTGCATCGAATGCTCGAACCCGAGTATGATAACTTCTGTTGTGCTGCAAACTTATGTTATTGAATGTGTAGAAAGTTGAAATGGAGGCTGATTTATCTCTCTGGATTACTGTTCCGTCATCTTCTTCATAAACACCTACCTCATAGAGTTTAATCGACGACTGATGATCTTCAAAGCCATGCCATGATGTTGCAACAGAAGAGTTTAAAGACTGATATAAAATATTTCGAAAATGTTTGGTGTTATATACAATACCAGATACAGGGTAATCAACATCATGAAGTATTCCATCTGACATTGCCGCGGTTTCCAGTCCCAGATTATTTATCGCAAAAATTGTGAAATAATAAGTAGTTCCTGCTATCATTGTTTGATTAACGTCTAAAGAGGTAGATAAATGGACAGATCTTCGTGTTATGAAGTCATCACCTAATAATAAATAAAAATACATTTATTGAGGTCGATAAAAAGTAAACTAAAAGTATAATGGAATATAGAAGAAGAATAAAGATGTACCATAAGGTCTTGTTCCACCACTTATATCGTAGTTTACTATGTGTCCCTGTCCTTCCGAGAATAGTTTTTGCCAACATACTTTAAACTGTCTTAAAGTACCAATGAAATCGACATCATTTCTGCAGTTATCCACTGATTCAATCACTGCTCGACCAAGTCTTATCTGTGGAGGAGTAAAATCAATCAAAAGAGAGTTTGACGTGAATATAGCAAACTCAGACTCGGAGACCCACGCTCTTATATAGAGAATATAGTGCTGTCCGTGTTGCAGTCTTTTGTGGGGTGGCAAACAATATACCAATTCGTGACTGATGCCAATATCATGCCATATACTTTCTGTAGCTGCGTCAAATATTCCACTTCCTGGACTTTCCCCCTTTTCACCAAGACTCCATTCATAGCGCATCACTGTTCTTAACGATCCTGCTTCTTTCTCCCAAAATCCTGATATACACGAGGAACTGGCAGACATTGTTAAGGGTTTTGGCGATAACCCAAAATGAACCATCACATTAAGACTCGCATTTGAAACATTTTGTAATTCTGTGCAAGGTGCATTGATTTTATTTAAACACTTTTTACCTACTACTGCACAGGTACAGTCGTTATTGCAGTAATGAGAGACACAGGAATGACGCTGAATTGAGAGATATCCCTGTGTATTATATTTATTGTTAGACACAAGGACGACAGACACCTTTTCCGTTTTACTTTTCAGTCCTACATTATTTGTTCCAGTGACTGATAATATGATAACGTCATTGCTGTTAAGTTTCTTTGATAAGTTCAATGACAACACTTGCTGAGTTCTGTCGCTGTGCTGCACAGAAATCAAACCATTTGACAGTTCATTCCCAGAGTATGATTTACTAACACTTACAGTGTAGTTTTGAACTCCTGATTCATTATCCACAAAACCATACCACGCTAGGTGAATTGTAGTAGTCGTCCCATTATTGTGCCATGACATTGGATTCATGAAACCCCCAAGTGATGGCGGAGAGGAGTCAATAAGGAGTGAACTTGATGTTGCAAATGTGCAAAGACCAGCGCCATTACAGCTAGTTACCTTAGCGACATAGGAATCCCCATCTCTGAGAAAGGTTTCATTTGAAGATTTGATTGTAATCTGTGTTTGACAACCAATTTCATTCTTTTCAAACATGACATGCCCATTGCGACTGCTCATCAATACTATATGGTGCTTAATGATGGAACTCTCCATATCTTGAAAAAGCCATCTAATAGTAACCAAAGAACCGTCAAACTGCGTTCCGTTGATGAGTGATAGTCCATGTGCACCTGTGATGAATTCTGGATTCTGGACTAAAACTGGAGGACTTGGATCTACCTGGAATTTTGGAGAAGTACGCTCTGTCACCAAGCCAGCTTTATTAAATGCGCGAAGTGTTAGGTAGAGATCGGTTGAATGAGGAAGATGAAGGCCTGTCCTTGTCACCCGGTTCGATAGCATTATATTTTCAAAAGCTACGATCTGACAGTATCCCGGGGAAGTTCCCAGACACCATTCAAAATGGTCAATGTCAGAATGTGGGTCCACAAACCCAACCCAAGATGCAGAAATAGAGTTACTAAAAAGAAGAAGGTATGTAATTAATTTCAAATTAATAACCATGTTTAAGGAGTAAAGCATCACTAAAATTTTATTTCAAAAATCTTTAAAACATCCATGTTAAGTCATGGTTTAATAATACCGTAAATCTGGAAATTTTTACGTCGATTTTATTTTGCGAATTCGGATCAAAATGCTGTTGATTAATTTTTACGTTTCAAAATTTTGCGAATGACCACTGTTTCGTGCACATTTTGAAAAGCCCATAATAGCTCTTAGTTATCAGTCCCCTATCGGTAAAACCGGAGGGGACTATAGGTTTCCTCTGTCTGTCTGTCCGTCAGTCTGTCCTTCTTGATTTTCCGCACTTTTTTTAAACGCTTGCAGATATTGAGCTGAATTTCGGTTTGTATCTTGATAAGTTACAGATCAAGTTTGAACTTCGTTTAGCTTCATTGATTTTTGACAGAATTATGGCATTTTTAATTTTTCCATAATGGTTTAAGATCGGGTTCTGTTGTGCTAAATTCAGAGGGTCAACATAAATTACAAGGCGAGAAAAGACATTGAAAAAATGAAAAGAATTTTCGTCCTTTTGTGGATTTCTTTTATTAGGTTAAAGGCATTCACATCCTCAAAATGAAGCAGTTTTACCTTGGTCATAACTTTTGAATTTATAAAATGAAATCTTAAAGAAAAAGGGGAACTCGGTAGGGGACATGTATTGCTTAAGCAATACTCTCAGAATGCTTGTTTTATAAGAGTTTTATAAAAAGTTTGCATAGAAAAAAAAATAAGATGTTTTTACATATATAATAATTATGAGCTAATGTCAGTATCTCAATGCTGGAAACATTAAAAGAAAAGTCTTAGAGATCTATTAAATAAAATTTTGGGTGTGCCATTCCTCCATTAATAGTCAGATGAATAGATTACATACTTATAAGGCATAAAAGGTTCGTGTTGGTCGCTAAAACCGACATGGATCAGTCCAGGGATTGGAGGAGAATTGTCCATGATCACCCCGTCTGACGATACACTAGTACACAATTCAGCATGGTTACAAGCTTTGACGGTGGCAAAGTATTTAACACCAGGTTCAAACATGCTGTTCCAAGTAAAATCTGGAAAGAATTTGTTTTGTATAAAATAAGAAGTTTCACAATTTTATTGAAGACCAAATACTGATACTCGTAGATTTCAGTTTAAGCCTCCTCTCCCAGAACCCATATTTTTAACTGATATAGGACTTATTGAACACGAATCTCTGATTGACCTCACAGATCAACACTTTCTTCTATCTACTGACTAAAATCTATTCCATGAATATAATCATAATTTACTTATGTCAACCAATATTAAGTTGAATCTTTGCCAAAGTTTTAATTCCATAAGACAGAAATGAGATAATCGTAATATTGGTATGTTTGTGTTATCTTCAAGAATACAGACATTTTTCTATTGTATAAAACATTAAATTACAGTTAAGATGTACATAAAGATTAAATGCAATTAAAAACTGCAATTGTGTAAAATCAGTAGAAAGGTTTCTTTCCCAGTTTATATGAAAGAATGGTGACACATGAAAATGATTTCCGCAAATGTATAATAATTTTAAAAATCAATATATTTCAACGGTAATCATATTTCGTTCAAACAATTCTTATTACTGCAGTAATCTATTTTTAAAAAGTCAGATATGTAATGCCAATGCCTTTATTATCTTCCTTGCAAAACTTACTCGTTAAAAGTCCTACATTGCTGGCAGGAAATACATCAAAGAGAAACGGCTGTGTTCCTATACCTACTTCAAAATACTGAATTCCGGTGTGAGAATCCAGAAAACCTGACCAGTGACACGCGTACTTCCTAGTATCATTTTGAAAATCAACATCGTCCTAAGATATAAAGGTGTACCAGAAGATTATTCTTTTAATATGTATTAAATCAAACATCAACAATCAAATATTAAAAATGTAAATATACAAGAAGCATTACTTTTTCATCTAAAAAAAAAAAATCCTTGTAAGAATTTTTAAAAATCAAATATAACGATCTGTAATCAAAAGTTAAAATACTTTGATACAATATAGTGAAAACTTTAATACTCTAGTAAACTATAGTTTACTACAGTACTTTTCTGCTGATGTAACTATTTTTTTAATGAAACGAACCGTTAGACCATCTTGTACAAGGCCTTCATGAGGCGGAGTTCGATCAAACAGGAATGGTTCAGACGCAGTGATCACATTCAGGTCTGCATGGTTTACAACCTGTAAAAATATATTAAGATACTTACTAAAACCTCCTTGCCAAAACCTTCAACTGATTTTTTTTTTGCTATCAATACTTCTTACTGATAACCTTAAGTAAAATGTACACCTTTAGCAATATATAATACTGATATCCATCAATCATGAATTCTGGTAGTTGAATTTCAGCAAACTCTCCATCCACAGGGTAGAATTCCAGAATATCTGTAGAAACATTACTGGAACCAATACCCATCAAAATCTGCTTTAGACCGCTTTCGTTGTCCCCGAATCCGTCCCAGTGTACAAAAATATCATTCGTGGAAAGCGTTGCAGTTTGTGATTTAGGACTTCCGATGAAGATCGTACCAATGTCAGGAGGGGTCACATCTAAGGTCTTTCCCGGAGAGGAAACGACTGTCACATGACCAGCTCGATCAAATGCTGTTTAAAAATGATAGTGAGTTTGATTATGTGAATGTACTGTTAAATCAATATTGTGTATATGGTTATAAATGTAATTAACATTACCTTTTACTGTAGCAAAATACGTCATTCCGTTCGTCAGGTTCAAGTTTGGAATAAACACTGATGTCTGTAACCCAACGTTTCTGGACTGTAAAATATCCTGCCCTCTTGGAAAGGAACCTGCCAACATGATTTTACATTTTAGTACTATATTATAACTTTTTAATATTTACTTATTTAGTTGAGAGAGAGAGAGAGAGAGAGAGAGAGAGAGAGAGAGAGAGAGAGAGAGAGAGAGAGAGAGAGAGAGAGGGGGAGAGAGAGAATTACCTATACAGAGGTCATATCTTGCAATGCCAGGTTCAATATGAGAAATTTCTACTCCAATATCTGAAAAGCCTGACCATTGTATTTCTAATTCCTTTTCGCTTGTAACAAATTCTTCATTGCTACTTAAAATCTTAACTTCTCCGCCTTTCGGAGGCGAATTATCAACAATAAATCCATTCCCACAGAGGGAAATATCTTCACTCTTCACTTTGTTTTCAGAAGTAAAATTCATTCCTTCAGCAAAGACACATATGAAATATTTATGATTGGGTGGGAGTCTTTGTGTATTAAATCTTCCTATTCCATCTGTTGAGGTTACTGATTGAAGACAATCCATATCACTTTGACAGGAGACTTTTTGTGATAATTGTTTCGTGGTGAGATACCAGGTAATGGACTTTCCAGACGCCCCACTTAAAAATCCGTATATTTTCCTACCAGGTGGTGTTACGTCAACCTCATTTTCGTGCAGCAGTTGTAATTTATCTCCTAAGAACTGACTGTTTGCAAGTCTTAAAATATCCTGAAGATTTACAGAGCTAGAGTCTATTTCGTATAAAGTAAGCGCGGAAAATTCATTTGGATTTGACAACATAGTAGGACTTGTACAGGTGTTGATTGACTGTCCTGTTTTACAAAGTCCTTTGATACAAATTTCCATTCTTTTGTGTCCATAAACAGGTAAGTGAAATGTTAAATTGCCCTGTAAAAAGAAAGAATTCGATAGTTAATATGATACAAGAGTATAATTCACGATCATTGAATACAACTAATTCTTTCTTCAGGAAAGTGCATGCATGCTGATTATTATTGCATTGCTTTAGAAAGGTTTTTGTGTTACAAATGACAAATGAACCCAAAAGTAAGAACAGAACAAGTTGTCCTGTATTTCCCAGAATATAATTTTTGAGATAAAAATCTGAAAGGAAGATGATAAAAAATACTTTAATTGAGCTTAATCTATGTGCACTTACATTAAGACATCCTTTCCTAGAATAAGGAGAAAATAAAATCCATGACGTCAATTGATTTTGTGGCACATTTGTATCAAGTAAGGCCGCTGCATATCCCAATGGTTCTCCAGATAACCCACACTCATATGCACTAAATTTTACTTGTACATCTACAACTCTTGTTTCACCTTCATTCATTTTCATAAAAGCCTCCGTCTCATTTATAGGATAACTTCCTTCTTCAACAGTGACTGCTTCCGTGAATTTGCCTTGTAAGCAGACTTTCTGGAAACATGGTTGAACTAATGCATGGTAAGTTTGGAAATTTTGCAAATGCAATCCAGTAAACTGGAATTGTGAATCGCTACTTATGTCTTTGAGCGGTTCCACAATTGTACTGGACCCGTCTTTGTTTATTTTAAACAAACCACATTTGTAATGAGTGATAAAGTTTGCAGTCTCATTATTTACAGTCCAAAAAACTTCGAAAGAATGCTTACTTTTCTGAAATTGTTTTCCTTCCTCGCAAGAGGAAATGGAGACATTACTTAAAGCGGTGGTATTCAAAATATGGAATGTAGGGTAGGAAATAATTGGAATGAATTGATGTCGAGATTTATCAATCCAAACCACATCTTGGCTGGTTACCGGGCTTCCGTCTGTTAAAATTGTGTAGACCTGAATCTCCCGAAGAGCGCTGACTACTGAAAATGTTCCTTGATTTTTATTTAAAATAATTGGAATACGATTGTTGCGTCTCATCCTACAGCTAGTCCCACTATGAACAACAAGCGAATTTGATATACTTGAGTTATCTATTACGGTAAATCCATTTGAAATAATCAAAGTCGAGTGAAGCCCAACAGTAGCGCGTGCTATAGTATAGTATTTCTTGAAATGCAATAGATTCAAATTGTAAATGCACTTCGTATTTTCTGAAATGTTCCGAAAAGATACGATATCTGCAGATTCTTTAGTTGAACCAATGCCAACTTCTAAAGAAATATTTTGAATATGCCATATGCCTTTCCAGTCAAAGCATACTTTGTTGGTTTGGAATATGAAGTCAACATCCTCTCCTTCTAGAGAATTATTTGGAAGAGTTTCTATGATTGTCCCATTTGTCGGTGGATACCGAGAGGGTAAGAGAAAAGATTCAGATCGAACTTCGAGAAAGTGGCCTGCTATGTTATAAACATATAGTTGGAAGTAGAATCTGGAATTACTATTGAAATTCATTTTGAAGATACGATTAATTGAGTACTTGAAGCAAAAAGAAAGATTTCTTGGACACTGTTCCTTTATCTTGGCTTCCAGATAAGGCGTCAGTATCTTTCCGGCACTTCCTGCAAAAACATCAACAATTATATTTTTAAGCCCCATCAAAAAGTGTATTATAATAACAATAAAAAATCAGTAAAGTAGTTTTTTTCTTACCTAAGCGGAAAAGAATTGAATCCATTGACTCCTTCTGTTCGGCTTCGAGAAATGTATCACTGTTCCATCCAACAACGATATCGGCAGAATCTTGGAATACAACAACATTCCCTTTGTATATAGGTGGTGTTTCGTCAATGATAAGTGGACCAAAAGTCACAAGCGTTTTCAGATCAGCTTTGTTTATTACTTTGAGAAATAGATAAAGTGGCAAACCAGTATCTAAGCCTGCGTGCATGATATGAAACTCGTCAATCTTATGAGAATCTGAGTACGATATCAAATCAGGAAATGAAAAAGAACTTGCAGTTGAACCAAATCCAACCTCAACATTATGTATCTGAGATTCCTTTTCTTCCAACTTCCAGGTCATTTTGATTTTATCGGACGGAAGATAAATAAACCAGTTTTCCGTATACTGTGAGAGTTTGCTACACATGGTTGCAGAGTATTCAGAATGATTTGCGTATAGATTACTTTTTGGAAGATAAGCTATAAGTGACATAGAAAGGTTACGACTACATATTTCGAGACATTTCTCAGTAGTCTTAAGCTCGTAAGCTGTTAGATTTTGCAGAATATGCCAAGCTTTGTTGTCGTAGCATCCAATAACATCCTTCGCTTTTGCAGATTCTAGAACAACATCGGTAACAATTACTTTGGAAGAGTCTCGAGTCACTCCATCAGAGCATGCAACATCGGAAGGTTCCAAAGCGTTATTATATGCAATTACGGACACAACATATAGACCATCGTTAGGAAGACTTATACTTAAAGATTGTTCTGTAGACTCATGGATGCTAAAATTCTTTGATAAATCATGAGAATATACACCCATCTCTCCTTTTGTGAGACAGTGATCGCTGATACCTATCCTGTATTTCATTATCCCACTTTCATGATCTATGAATCCGTCCCATCTAGCATTAACAGAATTTCCACTTGTGTAGTCAATATCAGGGGAACCTTGAGGTCCCTCGTAAACGACACCTTTATGTGGAGGAGAATCATCCGAAAGGATATCCACGTGTTGTATACTAACTAACCTGGCTCCATTTGTTACTTTAACTGTAAAATGGTATTCTCGGTTGTGCAGACCAATATGTGTGTTGTTCTTTATAAGATGGTTGAATTCCACTCTATACATAGAGTGTTCACAAGGTCCCACACTAGGACAATAGCAGTCCACAAGAGCTTCGCAAGTCTGAAATTGATGATGACAAGACAGTTACTTTTTTATAACTAAAAGCTAATTGATTTACATTCAGAATAAAGGAAAACGCAGTTACTCTACCTTATTTCCTAAAGTTTGCACTGCAATGGTTTTGTATGCAAGTTCTTTCCCTCCGAGGGACGTGCCAAGGAAGTATTCGATTGAATAAAGGCCACTGTGTGAGTCAAAAGCTTGGAACTCTAGGGTCATTTTTGACAGATCGGTGGAGTTATGAACAAACAGTTGTCTCACGCCATCCTTTTTCAGCCAGATATCCTCAATATCAGGTACACTGGAATCGACATGAAAAGTGATATTTTCAGAAAGCGAATTATTCATCAAATCTTTTGAAATCACGGTGATTGTGTGAGTTTCTCCATCTTTCAAATCAAGATCAACACATAAAGATTGGGTAGGAAAGCGTGGTACCAAAATGTATGAGGACATTCTTTTATTTTCTTTAAACCATGAGTAATGGTATGATACTATTCCGAAAATATTGGTTGTTCCAGATATCGGTAAAATTCCGCTCTCTTGTTCGTACACGCCTTGATATATTCCATGATAATCCTTTTGCATTTTGCGTAGGAGATTATATCTCAGGTTGTACGAATTGTAATATCGGTTTTCCCATGAAAGACAGCTCTTTCCATTATTTGTTTGCCAGGTGTAATTGGTTTTTGAGCTTGCTGTATATACCTGGAGCCTTTTTTCGCCATTGATTTTAATTTCGGAGGAATTATCGAACATAACGAATCTTCTAGCAGATTTCACATTTCCAGCATGATCCAACACTTCCAGAGAAATGCCAAAAAGGGCTGGTTGGTGAGGCAGTGTAACACTGAATTCAGCATGAGAAATATTGAAAGTCTGAAGAGCTTTTTCATCCATGGAAAGTGTTTGGTTGTCAACCTCTTTTGTTTCATGGATGCTAATGGAAAAACTCTTAATGCCTGATGCTTGGTCGGGTCTTCTTGGAAATGGATCATTCCATCCTTCAATTTTGATCTTCAAAGTAGGATCTTTTGTCAAGCGACCGAATATAAATTGTATTGGCTCTTGTCCTGGACAAGTCGAAAGTTCACTACAGTGCTTTGGTGGGGAGGAATCGAAAAGAAGGCATACATCATTTGACTCAGTTACCCTGTTGTAACTGACTGCAGGGTACACTTTGTTACTGAAGTCTTTGTACTTCATGTATCCCCCACTCTCAGCTTTATACGATAAACAGAGCCTAGTCAAATAAATATAATTATGATTGAAATGAAATTAATATCAAAAAATGCAAACACTGTTAAATCATTTATAAAACAACTTTTACACAACCTTTGTCCATTGTTTAAGAACCATGTTGATTGATTGGGAATGACATGCCTACACTCTATAGGATGGTCTGACTTTGGATGTAAATCGTCCATCTGTGTATTGCATTTTGATTTGTCTGTCATCTGTTCTATATGCAAGGTAGATTTTGCTCCTGAGAAGAGATTATTGAACATATGGAGATAATGAACAGTATTCAAGATCAAAAGTCCATAAAACAATACAAAATAGGAGCAGAGCAAACAGATCTCCAAAACATCAGAGGTGGGATCAGGTGCCATGGAGGAGTGAGCATCTCATGATATCAGGATATCAAAATGGTACACAGAGCAACTGACAAATTTCATTTATAGTGTTTTGTAAACACATGTGAAAAAAGATTTACGTAGTAGATTAACACTAAGAGTTACATTAAGTGAATATTTGAGGTGTTCCACTTATGTATAAATTTTTCTTGCATGTGTCCCCCTAATAATCAAATTTAAAAGAGGTACAAACCTCATAAACACTATTCAGAATTTAAGAAATTTCGTTTATTTTATTTGTATGCATTTATTCAAATCTGCTTTCTGTGTTATGATTTTTTTTAAAGAATCCACTGAATCCACTGAATTGTACAGCTGATTTTAATCTAAGAAAGTCATGACCATACAAATTATATGACTTATGGCGACAACAAGCTATTAAGGTCAAAAATAAAAATCGTCCTGCCAACGTCTTGTATAAAAATGAAATTTTGATCATATGATTATTCATTCGACGACATACCTTGAGTGTCAATTAATAAAAGTATTTTTAATGAATAACTTCTCTGAAAAATATAAGATAAATAGGCATTAAAATCGTCTAAATGTGTAGATTCACTTACTTGTTAAATCCTCCTTATATACTTGGACTTCAGCATGGACAACACCAAAATGAGACTCGCTGATACGAATTGGTTTGCTGGGAAGACTCTTTGGTGTTTCAAATAACATGACAAAATTAAAAGACAGCGATTTTGGTTGAAAGTTGATAGATGTTGATTCTTCATTTTTGCACTCTCCATGTGAGGTTGAATTACCCATCTCACCTTTGTTACTTTCAGCACCCAATCGACAAGTAAGAATCTGCGGCTTTTTGGACACTAACCAATAAAAATTTGAAATATTTATTGTCAAAAAATTAATTTAAATTAAAGCAGCAATTTCTATTTTTATCGGCGTAAAGAACTTATCTTTTGTGTTTTTTTAATCCTAAGGCCGTTAAGGACTTTTTTTCTCAATATAAGTCGTTAAAAAAGTTGACAACCGCATTTCCAGTTGCCCCGTGTAAAAAATTCTTAAAGTTCTGATGCGACTGGTCACCTTTAAATCATCTCATAATTAACTTACACTGACAACGAGCCGGATCAGAAGATGACTTTAGGAAGCCATCGCTACAAACACAGTGTTTTGCCAAATTTCCTGCGCATGTGCCAGGCCAACACCAATTCTCCTTCCATGAACACGTAGCTTGAAAAAAAAAATATTAATTTTTCTCTTACAACTGAAATTTTTTAAAACATGTATCAAGTACATTAAACATGTAAAAAGTAGAATTAAGAAATGAATTTTATGCTTAATGAAAAATAAAGATAATGAAGACAGAAGCAGTCTAGAAAATAACTTCCTCCCTCTTAAAACAAGCCAGGAAACATTCAAATCAAACAAGGAAGACCCATCAAAGGGGGACTCCTGGTTAAAAAAATGAGTAAAAATGAAGATAATGCACAGTGATCGATCTAAAACAAAATCTATAAACAATACAAATAAATAGAGCATATGACACAGGCTCCTTCAAATCCCTGATGTAAGATCAGGTGCTAAGGAGGGGTAAGCATCCCCTTGGACCTGTCATATCCTCTGTGAGTCCTATGTATTGATCAGGTAGGTAACATTAAGTATTCAAAAATGTAGAGAAAAGAAACACAGTTACAACCCTTAAAATATTGATTTTATAAGTAAATAACAAACAAGAGGTCCATGGGCCACATCGCTCACCTGAGCACTTTGGCTAGGAAAAAAGAAGAAATTAGTTTATTAACGAAAAATTTAAGCCCAAAAGTATTCCCAACCATTTCTTTAAGGGGAGAGGGTATGATTTGCACGAACTTGAATCTAGACTACTCAAGAATTCCTCCATATAAATATGATCAATCATGCCTTTGCTATTCTTGAGAAGATTTTTTAAAAAAATTTCCTATATATTTCTATGTAAAACTTTGATCGGCCATTATGGCCCCGCCCTACCCCCGGGGGTCATTATTTGAAAAAAACTTGAATCTACACTACCTGAGAATGCTTCCATATATATACGATCAATCATGGCTTTGCTATTCTTGAAAAGAAGATTAAAAAAAAATCTTATATATTTCTATGAAAAACTTTGATCGGCCATTATGGACCCGCCCGACCCCCGGGGGTCATGATTTGAACAAACTTGAATCTACACTACCGGAAGATGCTCCGTATAAATATGATCAATCATGGATTTGTAATTCTTGAGAGAAGATTTTTAAAGAATTTTTCCATGTATTTCTATGTTAAAATTTGGTCGGCCAATGTGGCCCCGCCCTGCCCCCGGGGGTCATGATTTGAACAAACTCGAATCTACACTTCCTGAGGATGCTTCCATATAAATATAATCAATCATGACTTTGTTATTCTTGATAAGAATATTTTTTTTTAAATTCCTATATATTTCTATGTAAAACTTTGATCGGCCATTGTGGCCCCGCCCTACCCCCCGGGGTCATGATTTAAAAAACTTGAATCTACACATGTACACTACCTGAGGATGCTTGCATATAAATATGATCAATCATGGCTTTGCTGTTCTTTAGAAGAAGATTTTTAAAGAATTTTCCTGTATATTTCTATGTAAAACTTTGGTCGGCCATTGTGTCCCTTCCCTACCCCCGGGGGTCATGATTTGAACAAACTTGAATTTACACAACCTGATGATGCTTGCATGTAAATATGATCAATCATGCCTTTGTTATTCTTGAGAAGAAGATTTTTAAAGAATCTTCCTGTATATTTCTATGTTAAAATTTGGTCGGCCATAGTGGCCGGGGTCATGATTTGAACAAACTTGAATCTACACTACCTGATGATGTTTCCCCATAAGTTTCATCTTTCTTGGCACAGTGGTTCTTGAGAAGAAGATTTTTAAAACATGCCACCAAATTTTTCACTATTTCTCAATTATCTCCCCTTGAATGAGGGCGTAGCCCTTCATTTGAAGAAACTTGAATCCCCTTTACCTCAGAATACTTTGTGGCAAGTTTGGTTGAAATTGGTCCAGTGGTTCTTGAGAAGAAGTCGAAAATGTGAAAAGTTTAAAAAACAGACAGACGGACAGACAGCTAGACAGACGGACGCCGGACAAAATGTGATCAGAAAAGGAAACCCCTCTAAATTTATATACCTTCGCAAACTTTCTTATTTGAAGTAGGCCAGTAAATAGAATACTCAGGTGTTGACTTTTCATCCTGACATTTTGTACATTGATAGTCATCAGTGGTGGTACAAGTCGTAGATATACAATGTTTCGGAAGATGGCAAGCTACATAACCAGAAGAAAAATTCATTATATTAGCTTTGTTTTATACTTTTATATAACAGGCACAAGGTTTGGTCATCAACCTCGAAAGCAACGTACTGTACATAGATCTGAAGATGAAAGCCTAATTTCTGTTTGGAAATCGTTTCCTTGCTTAGAAAATAAGACTGTAGTACCTACTAGTATATGTGTCTTTCAATAACTTACAATTGCAAAGTTTCTGTTTATAAATAAAATTTGTGGTAATATTCACAAAGGATTTGTACTTACCGTGTAATTCACACATAAATGGCCTTTCACTTGAACAAGACTCGTCGTTCCAGGTCCAGGAATGTTCACTTCGAAGCTCTATGCAATCTTCGTTTCCATTGCTATTGCTTGGTTCATCTGTTTTTACAAGAAAATTATATGAATATCTTCAGCATAGTGCTATCCCAATTTTCTACGATTATAATTTTTTTCGGATACAAACACATAATTACGTATAACGCTCTATTTCATACGTGAATCCCAGTTCGAAAAAGAAATACGATCTCCCTCGTCCCAAACCCAGTGTCTTTTTCTGGAGAGATCATTTCCTCCGGTCCAGAGATGTCCACTTCTGGCCAAACCTAGAAATACCAAACTTCTGCTGCACATTATAATCAAAAGAACACAACAGACCACAAAAAAAAATTGAAATGGAATTCAATGTTAGCTCAACATGCCGACCAGAGGACCTAATAAATCAGTTTCTTTTTTATTCTAATTTTAAAAACCATTCTACATTTAGACATGCTGCGGTTTTCAATTTTCGAGATACACTTTGTATATCAACGACCTTTATGAATCGACGTCTTTTCCTGAATTGTACTGAATTCAAAGACACAAAAGAGTTTTACACCTGCCTTATATTTCAATACATGTGTTTTGAGGAAAAAACTGCGCATCGATTGCATACTGAGATACAATTAAACGTTAAGCTCTCACAATTTTGTAGTCAAATATCATTTTGCCTGTTTAATTACCGAACGTTATCTTCATAATTTACAGTTGTGTTCTCATTTCATAATGAAGATTCAGAAAAAAATAAAGGTAAACCTTATCAATGTACACTGTACTCCTAAAGATTATTTTAACTGTAAATGTATTATCGTAAAAAAAAAATACATTATTTAATACCTTGTATGTGGTTTTGTTTAGACCTGTCTCTTACACCTACAAGAAAACCTCCATGTCCTCGACAAATGCCTCGAGCCGTGTACCAGTTGACTGACATTCCAGAAAATTTCTTGTAACAATAATCATTATGCTGGTAACTCCAACCCGATTTACACACAAAATTGTATGCTGTACCTGAAAATGCATATGAAATGTCATTTTTTTTAACTTCGTGCATCTTACGTAAAAATATCTAGAAGAGAAAATTTTGCTACCAGAGTTGAAAATGACCAGTTTCTCGTTGAATTAAAAGGTTAAAAACTACATGTAATTAGAAATAAAGATATTTCGAAGTATTTTAAAGCAAGACATATTTCAATGCAGTTTTAGAAATCTAATTATGAAGTAAAATGCATTTTATGTTAGTACTTTGATATTTCAATTTCAGAATGGGATCAATTTTATTAATAAATTTTTTTTATTTCAGCGAAAAGTATTATATATATCAAATTAAAATGAGACACACGCTATTAACAATTTTACAACTTACATGATGCAAAGAAGAAACAGACAAATAATAAACAGTTCCACATTTTCTTCTTAGTCCTTTTTCTACATTTTTGTATGGACTCCTCTATCACCAGTAACCTCTGCAGAGTATATATGAAAGGTCGAAGATAACGAAATTTAATCCCAAAAATGACCAATAGAATTTCGAGAGAAAAAAAATCGAATATCCTTCCTGGTTGTCTTTTACACCGTTTACACAGATATTACACAATGAAATGTTTACACAGTCCACGTTTCTTGATAGCAAACCGTGTAGAGACCACTTTGAATAATTTCAGATTAACAAATGTCTTTTAGAGTTTATCTGAAATGTTTTAAATGAAACGACTCTATGTATATACTTAAAAGAGATAAATATTAAACTTGAAAGATTAGAGTTCAGTCAAATGACAAGGGCACTGAGAAATGAATTTGATTTTCGCAAAACACTTATCTCTTATATATTTCTGGTGTTTTTTTTAATCACTGCTAATTAGACTATAATTTAGATATAATTTAGATATTATTCCGAATTAAACTATTCTTCTACTCGTATTTCATGACAATCTTTTAGCTCAACTGCATGAATCAGTGAAAATTTATACAATAAGAAATTAGAGTCAATGTGGACGAGATTTCAATGAATTCATTTGTAAAACAGGTTCAACATTCAATAAATAACATAGTTTAAGTCCTTGTAACCATGAACAAAAACCTCCAGCATCTTTGTATAGGGATGCTTCAAAGACACTCATATAATGCACTTCCCTTGACATCGATTTTTTTTCCACTAAGTTCTCCTTTGATTGTTGGAGTAAAGAAATCTCACCATGGCTAAGATCTTGGAAAAAGGCTAAGATCTGTAAACTTTCTTTTTTCTCAAAATTTCATTCATTCTTTAATGAATGATAAATAATTGACAACCCAATCTTGTGTTTTTGACGTTAGATAACGTGACGCTCTTAAAGAACGGGTAATAAAATATGTTATAAAATAAAAAGTAATAAATACATGTATTTGCTCTTGAAATTTAAAACATAGAAAATTGAATATATCTCCCGTATATTCATTATTTTTTGTATAAATCCTTTGTATGCGTCATAGTTTGTAGTATTCCATAAAAACAAGGAAATTTCGTTATTTTTGGCCTTATGAGATGCCCCCTCTGGAAACAAGGCGATAGAATTTTGTGGTTCTTACATATAATGTACAATATAGTATTGCTCATCATACATTATAGTTTGAGCAAAAAGTCTATTGTAGTATTTGTATATTTTGTATTTAAATATACCTGGGCGGTAGATTTTCCTTAAACTTGGCACACTGAAGTAAATATAAGTTATACATGGTTTAAGAATTAAAAAAAGTTTCTCTATTGTAGTTTTCGCACAATATAACCCAAGTCGGCCCCCTTAAATTTCTCTTCCTACATGTACTTATCTCAGATTAGTAAGAATACACAAAGACCCTTATCGCTAAAATTAAGGAAAGCAATCGATATTTTCTTGAATACTTAATTTGTGAGATTCACTTGTCGTTGGAAACAAGATGTGTTTGTAAACCACTATGCACCCGACGGCAGCAAAGTTCGAAAAAGCTATTTTAGCATATAGGTCACAGTCAAGGTCACTAGGTTATTGACCTTGGTTTCATTCGAAAGAACTTGATTAGTGGAGTATACATACCAAATATGAAGTCTCTATCTCTCATGGTTCAAAAGTTCTGTTGAAGGTTCAAAAAAGCTATTTTTAGCATAAAGGTCACAGTAAAGGTCACAAGGTCATTAACCTTGATGTCATTTAAAAGAGCTAAATGAGTGAATTATGTATACTAAATATGAAGTCTCTATCTTTTATAGTTCAAAAGTTATGGCGAAGGTTAAAGTTTGCAGAAAAAAAGCTATTTTACCATATAGGTCACAGTCAAGGTCACAAGGTCATTGACCTTGGTGTCGTTTGAAAGAACGTAATGAGTGGAGTATACATATTAAATATGAAGTTTCTATCTCCTGTGGTTCAAAAGTTATGGCGAAGGTTCAAGTTTGAAGACAAACAGACAGACAGGACAAAAACAAATATACGCCCCGGATCTATCGATCCGGGTGCATAAAAAAATTACACATAGTATATATTGGAGGTTCTATATTTTATCTTTAAAAAAGAAAGAACGTTTAAGAATTATAGCTTACGATACTTTGAAGCAGGTCAGTGTAGATAATAAAAGGAATGCTCTGATAAGATAAATTGGTGTTTTTGACCAAAAAAAATGGATTTCGTAAAAAATAGATCCTGTACGGACCAGATAGAAAGTTGCGCATTATCATCGAGCAATGTGCTGAATGGAACTACTCCCTCTATGTACATGTAGGCTTAATAAATTACGAGAAAGCCTTTGATAGTGTTGACAGGGAAACGATATGGAAACTTCTGCGACATTACGGAGTTCCTTGTAAACTGGTAAATATCATCCGTACCTCTTATGAACACCTGACATGGAGGGTCATACATGGAGGACAACTGACGGAACAATTCGAAGTAAAAACAGGAGTTCGTCAGGGATGTCTTTTGTCACCCTTTCTGTTTCTTCTTGCAATAGACTGGATAATGAAATCATCCACAGACAATAGAAGAAATGGATTACAGTGGACACCACAAATGCAAGAGAAAATTACAACAGTGGAGGAAACAGCACAGATAGGACTTAACATCAATATCGAAAAAAACAAAGATCTTAAGCGCAATCACACCATCAAATGCTCCGTTAAATATAAAAGGTTAGGAAACAGAGGAAGTAAAACACTTCACCTACCTTGGCAGTATAGTGGACCAACAAGGAGGAACAGAAGCTGACATAAAGGCAAGAATAGGAAAGGCAAGAGTAGCTCATTCCTGCAACTTGGAAACATCTGGCTGGAAGACCAAGGGAATAAGAACATGCACCAAAGTCAGGGATTTTAACACCAGGCTGTGCTTCTCTATGGTTCAGAGACATGGAGGATGATCGTTGCCACAACAGGATCCAGACATTTGTCAACTCTTGTCTGATGAGATGGCCCGACAAAGTAAGTAACACCAATCTGTGGCAAAGAACAATCCAAGACCCTATAGAAGCAGAAATAATGCAGAGAAGGTGGAGGTGGATAGGGAATACTCTACGCAAGCCACATAAAACATCACAAGGCAAGTCCTATCCTGCAACCCCCAAGATAAACGTAAGAGAGGGAGGCCAAAGAACACCTGGCGGAGAGATTTTGAGTCAGATGTCAAAAGAATTGGGAAGAGCTGGAAGGGAGTAGAATGCATTGCTTAGGATAGAGGGGCCTGGAGGGATCTTGTAATCTGCCTATGCCCCGAAAGGGGTAGCAGGCATAAGAAGTAAGCAAGTAAACAAAATTTACCATTTCTAAACGCGGACTTTAATCACAATTTTTAAAAAGATCCATGCAAGGCAGGCACAAGATATTCAAATCTAAAATAGTGATCATCTTTATTTCAGACTGTCTCAAGAGTAAAATACATAAATACATGAAACTTTAAAAAATGAAATAAATATAATGTAAATGGAAATTTAAGTACATTTGCTAATCAAATGGTTTCATCAATGAAATATAGTCAATGATAAATGATAAGAATTTATTTTCATCAAAATGAAGATGTAGGCCTCTCAAGATAAGTCACCTGCTGATACCTTTGATCTTTGTCACGTGATAATGCCCATGGTTTCTGCTGAGTAAGTTACATGTAATTATGCTGCAAGGTGTGGTGCAAATGTAGAAAAAAATTATCATTGTTTCATTCGTAGCTGTAGTATATTCGTAACAATATTTTACTAGTTGAAAAACATTTCAATTATTATTCACCGTGCACTTTTACCACGTCATCATTATCTGCAAAATTACTACGATTTCTTTTATATCTTAACCACTCCGAGGGCGGGAAGTATCCATTGTAATCTCCTTATATATTACCATGAATTATCAATTATCTAATGAGAAATGATAATGAAATTAAAACATAAAAACAACGATTAAAACGTATTTTAAAGCAAGTTTTTAAATATTTTACTCATGATTTTATATGTTATCATTTCAGAATTATTTAACTGAACTAATAAAAAAGAACAACGCCTCAATACCCCATGTGCAGTTTCCAACACAACCACAAATCGATTGGCCGTATCCTTGGAGACCTGTCAAATCAAATTGATTGTCAGTTTACTGTATATATATTTATATGAAAATTGGCTAACATGAGTTCTATTTCATCAAATGGAATGAAACTTCACAATTCGACAAAATAAATGTTTCTATTTACGAAAATTTGTTAATATTTTATCTTGTAATAATAAAAAAAAACGATGAGGAGCATTGTCTAAGCATTTTTTGAAGGAATCTTGTATTTGACGCAGGAGAATGTTTTGCATAACTTTATCAATACAAATTGTTCAAAAAAGGTTAAAGAAAATAGACTAGAAACTTTTTATTATTTTTTTTTTGAGCTAGAAACATACGTTTTCCTACTTTCTCCCAAATCTTGGTGAAGTGTTCAATCAGAAAGTTGTAAGATGGTCGGAAATTTTTTTCTTTAGTGCGAAAGGCTTCTGAATGCATAAAAATAATTCAGTGAAGAAAAAGTTTGTCTGTGTTACTTATCTCCTCGTAAAGTAAGCATATCTATTTATAGATTATAACTGAATGCTCAACTGGACACGATCCTCTTTTCAATTAAAGTTCCACGAAGACTGCATATAAGTAAAAGTAAATGAAAGTATTAATCAAAACGGCTGAGTTGACGACAGGTAAGTTACTTTCTAAAGTGCCACAGGATTTTAGCAGCATTAAAATAGGATAATCCCCAGCTCTTTGTATACTAGTACTCGTATATATTGTCTTCTACAGTTAAAGTAAGTTTAAATTTCTTTAAACTGTGAATGTCAAGTTATTATATTTTTTCTAGAAAGTAAAAGGACAAATTTTATTAATAAATATCCACCACTGAAAATTATTTATACACGTCAGAAGTATTCTGATAAGGATATAATTATAATCCTCTTATCCGCTGCATTTAAATCGACCAGCGAGAGCTGGCGCGGATCTAGCAATTCCGGCAAGATCGGGTTGCATAGCTTGACCCTTACTTAAATTTCAGCAATGTGGGAATCTATCATTCTCACAAGGACAATAGCTTGG